TTGATCTTTCAACTACTAAATTAAGAATAAATGAATTATTTATATTAGTTAACAGTAGAAATAATTAATATAATTTTAAGAAAGGATGTGATATTTGCTTTTCATATTTTTAAAATAAAAGACTATTTGGAGGACCATTTTTGAATGAGTGATTAATTTAATTTTCATCTGGCCGTGAAGAATATAAATAATTTGTTTATGTTAAATTTGAAATAATTTTAGGTGATGAACAAATGTCTAGAATTTAATTTCATTCCACAATTAATTAAAAATCTAAGAAAAACTTTTCTATTAATAATAATTCAAATTTAAAAGAAGATTTAAATTGGAAAAATGATTATAAAACTGAAATTATTCCTGTAAGAGAAAAAATTGAGTCCTAAACTAACGATAATCATGAAGTAAAAATAATATTTGATTGTGAAAATAATTTTAATGAAGCCAATTCAACATTTTAAGGAATTAAAAATATGTTTATTTCTGTTTAGAAAACAATATAAGATGTGAAAATTTTTTAGAGTAGTATTAAAACGATAAAGAACTAAAAATGGCTTAGAGGAAATATTTGTTATATCAAAATGTGCTGATGGAAATCTTATGCCATTTGATGGTTGTCTTAATTGTAGTTTTCATTTGAATAATAATGCTAAGTTTTTGTTTAAGGTTAATGCTTATTGTGTAATGATGAATATTATCTCAATTTAGAATCTAATTTATGTGAAACCAACCTTGGAGATTAAATAATTTAAGGATAAGAATAATGTGATGATGATATTATTTTTTTATATTTAATTATAACTATAATCATGACAATTATGATGGTTGTTCAAATGGTTAATTAACGTAATACGAGAATATTGATATGTAAACTTATACAGCTTGTTATTATGGTTAATATTTAAAGTGTAACGATGGATTTACTTTAGAAATTAACAAATGTATATCAATTTGTGGAGATGGTTTAGCCAATAAATAGGAAGAAGAATGTGATAATCCAAATGAATAAGGATGCGAAAAAAAGGAAATGTATGTTCTGGTCAAAATTATTCGATTTGCAAAACTTGTGGAATGCATTGTGAAGATTGTTAGAATATAAATAAATTTGATTTAAAATTTAATGATTGTATGCCAGATTATCCAGTTTTAGATAAATGTTTAAAATGTGATTATAATTGTATAACTTTTAAAGATTAATTAAATTTATGTATATCCTGCTATAGAAATGATTGTGAACTATGTGAATCATTTCCTGGATATGATACGGATTTCTAAAAAAAAGTTTTTATCACTTAATGTAAAGATGGAATTGTTGTCTAAGAAAGAGAGAATTGTGATGATGGAAATCAAGAAAATGGAGATGGTTTGGATTTGTAATTTGGAATAACTCAATTCATGCCATTCAAAAACTATATTTTCTTTAAAATATTTATATCAAATATAGGGACATTAATTCTACCAAATATAACCAATTTAAATGAGGATCAATATTAAATAATTATCAATCCAGTAGTGGAAATTGAACATAACTTAGTATGGCTATGTATGAAATTGATATACTATTTTTCAATTCAATTTAAA